AGCACAGGGAGGATAGCCCTGGTTAGTGATTAATAAAAACTATGAGATGGGTTGGAGCACAGAAAACTTATCCATTCACACATGGGAATTATTGAGTTTCATTTCATGACAAAGCACATTGACATACACTTAGCTCCTGCTGAAATTAAGAGTAAGTCTAAAATTAGTGTCTTAATAATTATTTACCCTAATATCAGTGAAATAAGTTTTTAGGGCAGTGGTTGCATAGGGTATATTCCCAAACCTGATGCTCCTCTTTAATTATTGTTTAACCTATTTTAAAACACCTGGTGCAGAAAGGGAAAAGTGATTTAAATATTATCTGTTTAATTTGCTAACCTTCCTATGCCCTTTTGGAAACAGCTTGTTCAAAGTCCATGGAGATTTGGATACTCAGAATAACCCTCTGTATCACTTTTCTAAACTGAATTTCACTACATGCAATTTGGGCTTCTCCGAAAYGAGCAACCACAGGGGTTTGAAAATTCTAACACAGATTTATAATGAAATGAAAAAAGATTGGACACTGTCCAGAAACATGTGATGGTACTCAAAGCAGAATGACATTTGCTCAGCAAAGCTCCTGAAGCGTTACTTCCCTTAGTTCTTTTCAACATGAAATTTGTCTTCTTGTAAGCAGATTACCTTCATAGACAATGCAGGGACAGCATTTTGTATCATTGAATTATATCAGCCAAGCTTCTAAATTTTATGATGATTTTGTTTATAAATCCACTGCAACTGTATTTTATTTTGTGAACCCTAATATGTAACACGATGGCACTGAGTTCTGTTCACTCAGAACCCTACCTCTGTTTAGAGAACACTTCTTTAAGCGCTATCTGTTCTTCTTTTACCATTATTCTTGCTGAGGAAAATAGGTGTACACATCCAGAAAACACATATTAGAATGTTCAAGTGTGTGTGTGTGTGTGTGTGTGTGTGTGTGTGTGTGTGCACATGCGCACACAGATCAAAACATGACTTCCTCTCTAATATTCTTAAATGCCTCATTATTAGGCATTCCCCAAATTTGGGATGATAATTATTGGATTAGAAAAATTAAACTGTGGTGATAAATTGTTACTTGCATTTTCATGCAAAAACTTTATAGTGTGTACTCTGGTATTAAAACATTATTGTCTCTGTATTTTGAGAAAGGAAGCAGACATATAAAAGGGCTTTCTTATTTTGTTTATAATAATGACTTTTATTCTGAACAGTTTGTTACTTTGAAAATACAACAAAACTTGCTGGCCTAAAAAAATTCCATCAGGTTACCTGTCCATTCCCCTCCAATCAGATGGTAGAATATTAATAAATCTTCCTGAAGTTGATCTACTGTTTAAGCAAACAGGAGAAAAGAAGGACATTTAGAACTCGGCCTGGCTAGACTCAGCAGTGAGATCAAGCCAGATGGCATGGATTGAGAAAAAGGACAGAACCCAAAGTGGGAATGTAGAAGAGACTCTGGGATATCCGGGAAAGATTCATTTTGTAATGTGGCAAGACAGAGAGTGCTAGAGTTTGCATCTGGATTGTTCTTCAAGAGTCCATGTTTTAAAGGCTTAGTTCCTAGCTTGGCATTATTGGGAGGGTATGAAAAGTTTAAGTGATGGAGTCTAGTGGGAAGTTATAGGTCAGTGCAGATGTTCCCTTGAAGGGGATTGTGGGACCATGGTCTTGTCTTTCTCTTTCTGATTCCTGGATGCCATGAGGTGACTAGCTTGCTTCACTATGTGCTCCCCGTCATGATGTATAGCCTCACCACAGACCCAAGAGACCGTGGACCAGAGCCTCCAAGCTGGGAGCCAAATGAACCTTTTGTCCTCATAAGTTGATTACCTTAAGAATTTGTTAGAGTAATGAAAAGCTGACTAACTCAGAGAGRAAGGAAAACTTTCACTTTAGCTAGCAACATGAATGGGAAATGAGTTACCAAAAGCATTAGGATAGTTAAGATTCATTTTGTAAAATCAGAATGGAGTTTGCTTTGTATTTCAGAGTTTCTCTGTTGAAAACTTTATACTACTCCATATATTCGAAGTGTGGAAATGCATCTGATGAGAGGAAGGTGTTGGTCATGGTGATAGTTCTTTGCATCTTACTGTAATGGACTGAAGCTATTTATGGCCTCATTGGGAGTTTATGTTATCTTCTGYAGACATTCTGGTTCTACTTTTGGTTTGCTACAGACTTCTAGAATCCTCTGTTTATGGTGGATATTGAGGTCTTGGACATAACAAGTAAGGGTGAAAGCATTCTTATTCTGATGATCTTATCTATGGTCCATAGTTATCTGTGTTCTTCATATACAAAATTTTTTGACCTGCCCTCATTACTCTTATAAGCCTTCTGAGAATTTTTTTTCTTTCTTTTTTTTTTACAAGTTGGTGTTATGGCACTTACCAACTTCAGTGTATTATRGTGATATACAGGGAGATACTGGAAGGAAAGTCATCATTGCCATGAACCAACATGGTCTGTGTGCAGTAATGCAAGGATTAGTTTGTGGAGTTGAACACTGACAATCAAGATAGAAATCATTTTGCTCATAGGATGTAAAAAAGTGTTTTACTCATTGGTACATAGCTGACACATCTCCATTTGTCTAGCCTTTCACATATATGATCTTAAAAAGTGTGTATCAAAATCAGCTGATATTCAAGAGGATTTCTCTGAGGTAGTGGTTGAAAGGTTGAAAAAGTCAGAAATAAGTATGGATGGCCAGAATATATAATGTATACAACAGCAGACTGACAGGTACATTTATATGGGAAAATTCACTGAGACCTAAAGAGCTGATAGAGCTTCCACATTAGACTGAAAATTCCCTGTGTTCAGGATTGCTGTTTTGAATATACATACATATATATATATATGTATATATATATATATATATATATGTATATATATATATATATATATATATATATATATATATATTTCCCCTACACACTCCTTAGTTCATACCTAAATCTTAGGCAATGTTTGTTGAAATAAAGTCTAAAAGAACCTAGGTTTTTTTTTTTATCTTAGGATGATTATCTTTTCCAAATACCTGTTAAATAACTAAGATTAAAAGTAATATGATGTTCTTTAATTAAAACAAACAGTGTTTATTTTATTTAGTATATAACTGGCTTCAATATCTCAGAGAGTTAATGTTTTAAAATAAAACTAACCCTTACTTGTCTGAGTTGGAGATATTGATATTTTTGCATAAAATTGGAATATATTGGTTTTCTATTGTTGCATAACAATAYGACCACAAGCTTAGCTTTAAACAAAGTATACTTCTTAACTCAGCCTCATGGGTCCTCTGCATAATAATTTCACAAAGTGCAGTCCAGGTGTTGGTCAGGCTGGGGCCTCACTTCAAGGCTTGATGGAGAAAGGATCTATTTCCAAGCTCATGAGGTTCTTCATAAAATTACTTTTCTTTTTGTTGGCTTCAATATCTGCTAGCTGTCAGTTGGAGGCAGTCCTTAGCTCCTCACTGGTTGGAGGCTGCTCTAAATGCCTTTGTCATGTGGGCCTCCCCAAAGCTGCTGAATGCTTCATCAAAGCCAGCAAGGGAGATGCAGCTCACAATTCTAAGTAACCTAATTATGGAAATGACATCCTATCACCCTGCTCTATTGGTTGTTCTGTTGGTTAAAATCAACTCATAGGTTCCACCACAATACAATTGCTATTAATGGTTTGGTTATGCAGAAGACCATTTATTGAGTAAAGCTTTGATTTTGGTTTCCTTCAGGAAAGCTATCATGGTCAGTTCTTTAACACTTTATCTGTGGTATTTTATTATATTAAATAGGCTCACACTGTTGTTTTTGTGGTACAAATGTATAAATTAAGTCACATACTTAGATATAGTGAGTCAGAAGGCAAATTTCTAGACACTATAAGAGATGATCACTTTCCTTTCCACTGAACCATGCTTATTTTTTTCCTTGAAATTGATTACTGTCAGTCTGTGATTCTCGGGTACATATGTCACCTTGACATTATCAGGCCTGTGCAGTCTTCTGTTCTCTGTCTTTACCATTTTGTTCTTCCTCTCTCTCTCTCTCTCTCTCTCTCTCTCTCTCTCTCTTTTCATTTTTTATTCTAGTGATTACTTTCAGAGCCCATCTATGCCTATCATTTCTTGTCCTGCCTTTTTGATAAACTTTTTCTCTTTTTCCACAGTATGTACAAAGATGTTTACTTTTATGAAGTCATTATTAACTACTTGATAGCTTGCCCCTTGGAAACACTGAGGTGAATTAATTAAGATATTTCCCGTGAGATTTGGTCAATTTTCCTTTGACTTGAACTATTATAATCRCTACATGTTTCAGCTTCTATTCTGCCCTTATTTGTGGCCCTGAAATAAAGATTTCTCAGAGGATTGGGGAAATTTAGCAATATGTTCTACACTGTCCAAATGAGACTCCCTCAGGGTTGATTCACTGAAGACATGTTAGTGAAGCAGAAAGTAATTTTAATTAAGATCTTCTTAAGCTTATATAGCATGATAAATCTTTGCTTTGAGGAGGAAAATGGATATAGCATTGTAAATAAAAATAAAAATAGATATGGTGAATTTTTCATCTCTAATAGTAGAGATCTAGAGATTTTTTGAATTAAAAACAAAGTAAAAATTTCATTAATGTATCAAATAATCATCGATGGATAACAATCTCATTCATATTTGCAAAGAATGGGAACACCTACATCAAAACTTGGATACATTTTGATAGTTTCAAATTGGGTGCATTTACCTTATTATTTTCAGAGTTTGGAAATCTCTTGTCACTGGACCCACAGTGTGCAAGTTTCTCTGAGCAAATAAATGTGTACCACATGTGTGCATTATATAAGGATACATTATAAGAATTTGGGGTTCCAAATCTTTCTTTTCYATCACCCCATTGACAATGCTTCTGACTTTTGCTGTTTTAAGAATCTGGAGTCACACAATAGAAGTTGGGGATGAAGATGCTGGCACTGACCTGATGCAAGTGCCATTGTTATGGCATAGATGACGAGCACACCAGGGCACATGGCAGTTCTTGATGTTCCTCCCACGAAGTGCTTCATCAATAATGAAGAATTCTTTGTTGTTTACTTGAAGTTCTCTAATGCAGCCCTGGAACCCCTGAATATGGCCCATATGCTTATGGATCTTTATATTTTCAGGGACATGACCAAGGAACATTGATTCAAAATATACCTGTAAGAGAAGTAACAAAAAATCTTATCATAAGATGCTGTCACATTATGTGGGAAAGATCTAGAATGGTCAGTTCTATAACTGCATGTTTTAAAGTGTTTTTCTTTGTAAAACCCATTGCAATTGTTGGATTATTTTGTCACTTGTACTAACTAGGTGGTAAATAAATTACTTAGAAAAGAGCTTAGAAAAGAGCTCTTGGTTTACAGTTTTTTCATTTCATAATATCTAATAAAATTAATGCAAAAAATAGAGGCTAAACGAAACTTGCTGATTGCTTTGAAATGTATTTTTTAATTCAAGTGTTTGCAMTTTAATGGGAACATTACCAAATGACAACTGATAAAGAAAATACAGCCATGTTAATTAATTATTGTCAGGGGTTGAATTGTATTCCATCCATATTCATATACTGAAGGTTCTAATCCATGGTGCTTATGTGACCTTATTTGTAAATAGAATCATTGCAAATCTAATTAGTTAAGATGACATCAATATTAGAGTAAGGTAGACTTTAGTTTAATATGATTGATGTCCTTATAAAAAGGGGCAAGTTTGACACAGACAGACCTGCACACAGGGAGAACACCATGTGAACATGAAGGTGGAGAGCTGGATGACACATCTACTAACCAGGAATGTCAAAGATTGCCAACAAACCAGGAGAAGCTTGATGAGAGACGTGGAACAGATTCTTTCTCAAAGTCACTGAAAGGAAACAATCCTGACATCATCTCAATTTTGGACTCTCAGCTTCAAGAATTGTAAGAACTACAAGAYATTTCTATTATTTAAGCCATCCAGTTTGTGTCATTTTTATTTTGGAGACCCYGGCAAACTAATGACATTATATATCAAGTATCCTAAAATATGAGCAAAATGTATGGCATTTGCACATGGTACTTGATAATTAGACATGTTATTTTTTTCCCTCCAAAAATATGAAATAAATATGCATCAGAAGTTGAACTTTTCTTGCCTTATATTCAGTCCTTTCATTCACTCTTTATTCTAACAATCAGGTCAAGAACAGGCTCTTGTTTTGAGGAGACAAAAAAGAAACCACTCCATTTCAAAGGGACACAACTCATAGACAATTAATACAATAAAGGGATTCTGTAAAACTGGGTCCTTAATCTACCTTCATTTGGACAACACATCAGAGCTACATCTTACGTTGGATTCAGTTCTGAAGTCTGCATGTAAGATGAATATTCTGTGGAATCGAAATCRCCCTTGGAGATATCTTAAGCATCACTTCAGAGACTAATACGCTTTCTCTGAAAAAAACCACATAGCTACATTTTTCCTGCAGCTTTGGAATAGATTGCTGTTTTGTCAGTGTGGTTTCAGATGAAGCTAACATTAAGTGGCCATGTTGTATAAAAATTCTAGGACCCCCTCTGTGTGGTGAATTGCACCATGATGGTACTGATACTGAGAGCACAGAAAATTCTTCTCACATCCGTGCTCATTACAGAGCTTAAATCATTGACCAGATGGTACAATAACTTACATGATTTAAACTTCTACTTGATCTCTCCTTTCCCACTGTCACTAACATATATAACTGAATTCTCATAATTTAGATGTACATAAGATGAAACTCCCCTCAACAGGAATTTATGGGCTACAATAGAAGTTTTAATGAACTGGAGATGAGTCCCTGCTCTTCAGAGTAGATGCAGCTGCAAGTATAGTCTCCGACACCCCTTTCCCCTAAACACACTCTAACACCTCAAACAGATGTCTTTAAGTACTGAAAAAATATATAAGTTGGTATTAAAGATACCAATAAAATGTAGAACCATCATTACAAGAATTCAAAAACTAGAATCAAACAACTAAAATAGGAATCTAGGGGAGACCATGAAAGATGCCTAGAACATCATTGGACATTTATACTAATTTATACTGTTATGATGTAGCTTTGCTTTTAGAGAACAGAAGAATGTTAAATTCTARGAACATCGAAGCATCTCCATGACCCTTGCCTAGCAGGTAAAAGTCACTCTTGGAACTCTCTTTTTCAACCCTAAAAAAAAAAAAAAAGACAATATTTCTTGAGGAAATTTCTTAATTTCTTTCCCCTGAGTATTTCCTATTTTATTCCCAGAAGGTGTCAATCTTTGGGTGTAGAGGGCAGGAGGGCTTGCCAAAAGTTCCAAGGTGTATTGATAGAGCCCTTACGTAGCATTCATTTTTTCTCATGTGCTAAGTCMGTTCATATTAAGTACTCCAACAAGCTATTAGCAGACCTGCTTATCAGCGAAGCCACCCACTGTTAATACAGTTTGGGGTCTATCGTGAAAAAAAAAAAAAACAACTTTTTTTTTTTCCCTTTGCATCAAGGCATGATTTCCTCTCATCAAGGTTCTTTGACATCTTTCTGTATTGATCACACACTTGGAAAAGAAAACTCTCACTGCTTTGACAAGTGTGCTCTTTTAACACAAAACTTATAGAGGATGGGAACTCTCTTCTGCCACAAGTAGGCAGATCCGGGGGAAAATCTATAGAACTGCCTATGATTTATTATACCATTAAAAACATTCAAACAATGAAAGTAGGTGGTTTTTGTTTTTCTTTTGATCTGAGGCCCAAGCTTAGTTAGAGTCCTAAATGTCTAAAAAAAAAAATCAGCTGTTGTTGACTGCACATAGATAACTATTAAAATGGTTGACTTCCTCTATCCCCAGACTCTCAATTATCTGAGAGCTGCCTTTTGCGTGTATAATCATTCCCAAGGAGACAGGTCTTTAAAATAAGTCTTTTCTAATAATTTCTTGTGAATCAGACTATGGAGAATAGAGTCTGACATCAGGATATGATCTTACAAGATAAAAGCACAGAGAACAGACATGGACAATCAAGGAGRAATCATCAAGATAAAAAAGATGATAAATGGTGACAGAGAGAAAAGGTCCCTACATCTTCAAGAATGAACTCTCCTTTCCTCTCAGAATCTCTATAAAAAGAACATAGTTGCTATTTTATAATAACTGCAAATAAAACAAGAATATATGCAAATTTCTATAAGCTTGGAKGGGGGAGTGTTTGCTGGATAACTTGTCCTATTTCTTTTTTTACTTTCTTTTAGTTTTGACATTRTAGTATTACATAAATTTATGTAATGCTATCTTGATTCKATGTTTTGTTTTGCATCATTGATTCTATTTTCCAAGTTAAATGACCTTTTTTTTTGTTAATGAAATATGGACAGGAAACTGCAAATGCAATTTTGGTTAAGATTAATTATCAGAGTATACTTGTATTTGTTTAAGAATATGATAACTTATATTGGAAATTAACTGAATTTTATTTAAGAATCACTATCAAGTTTTAAGTATTAGCTGAATTGTATGCAAACAATTCAAAACAAGAAGCATGAAGTTTTGGAAAAAAGGTGGATAAGATGGTGGGTAAAGTATTTCAGTAAAAGGATTTACTTAAATAACTTTTCACATTTGGAGACAATGAGTGAAAAGGGATCAAAAAGCAGAAGCAGAATTTATCTAAATCCTTGTCCCTTTGCAGTTAAAAAAAAAACCCCAAAAAACAAAAAACCCTTTCTCTTGCTTGGCCTTATGTTATGACAATCTGTTGAGAACTCAGTCTCTTCTATATTCATTTAAAACCATTTTGGGGGATGGCTTCCACCTTGGTCATGTTCTCTGAAGTCTGTAGCCTTTAAATTAGAAGGTTTCATATTTGTTACAAATGACTTGTTTCATGAAACTCAGTCCTGCTTTTCCTTCATCTCCTATTTATCTTTTAAGCCACTTTTCCGAGTTTTGATGCATAAGGTCCTTATTATTTTGCCAGATTCAGCATATGTGAAGTTCTCTCTGCATACCATACAAAAGAAATGTCATATAACTTTTCTTGTTTATCCTCCATATTCAATGGACATGGCATAGAAAACAAGRCAGTGCTTATTTGGAAGTTATTGAATCATGTATGCGATTGATATGAAGTAGCCTGTATAAAGTGATTATAGTTAAAAATTTGATCAATATTAGTGGTYTTCTGAGGTTCCAAATCTCATAGTTAAATATCTGATTTCTAGGCTTTCCAGAGAATGTTCCCCAAATTATCGCTTCTTACCTTATCCAAGAAATAACTGAACTTTAGTGAAATAATCAATGAATTGAGTTGCTACCCTGTGAACAAATTGATCTAGGGAAGTATAAATGTAAAAGAAGGAAGTGGAATTATATGTCTTAAGATCTTAATGTGAACTGGAGAAATAAGTCATAAAGAAATTATTTACCGGTCAGCAAGAGGGCAGAATAGGAGTCCCAGACTCTCCTTCACCCAAGGACACAGATTAAAAAGAGCATGGATCGGTTCCCTTTGTCAGAAACCTAGAAAATAGTTAAGGGGCTTCTGCATGCCAGGCAAGCATGAAATCAGCTGCACTGAATCTGGAAGGAAAATTCATTCCTTCAGTATAGCATGGTCCAGTTAGGAGAAAACTCTCAGCTCCAGTTTCTCACTAGGGAGGAAAAGAGAAGATTGAAACATGACCTGCATATAGAATCTTTGGTGAGCTCCCCAAGGGATCAAAATCTATTTTGTCTGAATCTAAGCATTGACAGGAAATGGTGCCATACTGGGGATCATCAAGAACAAAGGTGACAGTTTGGACTAGTACACAGTCATTCACCACAGTCCCAGTCTGGATGACTCAGTATGGGTGAGTGGGAAAAGAAAAAAAATCTCAATTCTCAGCTTCTTCCTGGGGAGGGAAAGAATGGGATCCAATGTTTTATATTTTTGGGAGACTGCTCATGGTACTAGTTTCTGTCCTATTTGTCTCAGAGAATCAGTGGGACCCAGTATACTATAKATACCTAGGAGATGTTGATAACAAAAGAGCGCTGGAAAACTTGACTCTGCTTTAGAACACCCAGGGTACAGCATAGAGAGGGCAATGTAGATTGGCAGCCTGTCTCTCAGGGGAATGGGAGAGAAAAGAAGAGTGGAGCATGCATCCAATGTTCTGGCTTAGCAGAGGGATGCCTGAGGGGCTGATTTCTGTGTTGCCCAACTTGGAGAGCTGATGGAACCTATCATACTTTAGAAACCTGAAGGTTACTGAGAAGGAGTTGGCTAACTTGTGTTCTAGAGAACCTGCAGCACCGCAGTCAGACACTCAAGGGAGAAAGAGGTTATGAGCTCTTGAAAAAAGAAACTGGTAAATCACTCCAATTGGGAGTTTGCATGTACAAGATCAGAGAAGACACAGCTACAGAAAAAGACTGAGAGACTCTCAGTCTCTATCCTTGCTGTCTTGTAAACATCTTTCCCTGTATCAAGTCAGTCCAAAAAGACTGGGAGAGGTAGCTATTTCTTTTCTTTTTTTCCAAATGTGTGAATCCTATGGAAGTTACAACGTACAGGAATAAACAGGAAACTGTATCTCCACCAAAGGAACAAAGTAAATCTCTAGAAACCAATCCTAAATAAACAGAGGTATTTAAACTACCTGACAAAGAATTCAAACTAACAGTCTTAAAAGTGTTCAATGAGTTCAGGAAAAYGGTGCACAAATGAGATTATCATCAGAGAAAAAGAACATGCAAAAATGAACTAATCAGAAGCTTAAAAAATACCTAAAATTTAAAAATTMACTGAAGTTCAAGAGCATATTTAATCAAACAGAAGACAGAGAATCARTTAACCAGAAGCCAGATCATTTGAAATTATCCAGTTAGAGAAATAAGAAGAAAATGTAAAAAGACTGAAGAAAGTCTAAGGAACTTAAAGACAGCATTAGGTGAGTCAATATATACCTTATGGAAGAAGAAACAGAAGAAGGAGAAGGAGGGAGGAGGGGGAGGGGGAAGTGGAGAAAGGGGAGAGAGGGAGGGATGAGGGGGGGAGGGGGAAAAGAGGAGCTGGGGAGAAGAAACAGGGAAAGGTTATTTGAAAAAAATAATACCTGAAAACTGAAAATTTGGAAAGGAAATGGGCACTTAGATTCAAGAAGCCCAAAGGACTCCCAGTGGAATAGTCCTAAAGAAGTCCACTCTGAGTCACGTTGTGATGAGACTGTTGAAAGTCAATGAGAATTTTGGAAGATTTAAGAGAAAAGTGACTTGTCACAAAAAYTGAAACTCCCATGAGACTCACAGCATATTTCTCCACACAAACTTCTCAAAACCTTTCACGTTAGAAGGATGATATACTCAAAGTGCTGAAAAAATCTGCCAACCAAGAATGCTGTATCTGGGTAAAATTGTCCTTCAAAGATGAAAAGGACAGAAAGTCTTTCCCAGATAAAAAAACTGAGGGAGTTCAACACTAGACCTGCTTTACTACATATGCTAAAGGGTGTCCTTCAAGTTGAAATAAAAGGACTCTAGAAAGCATCATTAAAATATATGAAATTATAAAATAGATATGTAGAGAAATACAGAATACTATAAGGAGTCAAAGGCACCTTTTTTTTTTTTTGATAGTCTGTGTCAAAGWCAATGACTCTTAGAATTAAATGGCTTTGCCTCACGATTTTCTCAGTGCTTATGTCTTTATTCTATACACCTCCACATTCTACAGTGAATAGGTACAATTCACAACTGGAAGCCATCTCTAGGTGTCTTTTCTCGGACAAGTTCCTGTCAAGACTTGGAAAGAAGAGGGCATTTATCAAGGAGGCTGGTTCCAAGAGGGTGCTGAGGATGAAACTGATGCTCCTTGGCTTAGAAGGGACTATGTCTAAATAAGCCCATTGTCAGCTGGAAAAATTGTCAGTAAAAATGCACTTAGTACGTCTAACCTACTGCACATCACAGCTTAGCCACACAGTACACCCGAGAGTACTAGTTATACACCCTAATGAATACGTGGCTGACTTGGAGCTACAAGTGTGGCTTCTACTGAATGCTTGTTCCTTGGCATCATTGTAAAGTAAAAAAAAAAAAAAAAAAAGTAAGTAGAACCATTGTTAAGTTAGGGAATGTTTGTCTGTACCAGAACCCTGGAACTGGGGTCTGGTCCAGAGAATCCCATCACGCTCGACCTCCACAGAATGACTGAACTGAAATTTGTGGTTAATAAAAGTTAGGAGGTAGCATWCAGAGACTTATCCACTCAGACTCTGGAGCACTTGAGTTGGACTGAACACTAGAAGACCAAGAGCTGTAAAAGCTGTGGTGCCTCCTATAGTAATAGTAGTGAAGAGCAAGTGAGGCTTTAGAAAGCCTGCATGCATTCTTTATTTACCTCCTCAAATTATCCAAATTATTTTCTATTTTAATCTGTTCTCATGTACTGGGTCTCTGTGTGTGCCTGTGCATTATCTGGGACATTCTGATCAGTATTTTATTTAGTCAGCCTCAAGGACAAGTGACTGATGTCAAAGAGACTATAAGTCATATTTGAAGTATTCAACAATAAATATATATTGAGCATTTTAATTCTATTTATTAGTTATGTGATTCATCAATGTCTATGTTAGCACAGCACATGTTATTTATAAGAAAATATGGAGYTTTTAGTATCAAAATGATAACTATACAGAGTTAACATAGATGTAATTATAATAAATATTTTATGTTGATATTTTTTCAAAAAACTCTGAGTGTTTCATATATCTTGGACCACTAGAATATTCCATGTCTTGAGTACAAATATTTAGCTCTCTTGGCATGACTTTTTAAAACATGAGATAACTTTGTTGCTACCTAAACAACTCACTTGAACAGTTTTAACTTTGCTGCAGTAGCAAGTCAAGAGTGGTAGAGTGTAATACAAGAACAAAAAAGGGTAAGGAATCAAAATGACTGGAGTCAAGTCTCTRTCATTATTACTATAAAATTTTGTACAAGCCTATATTCAGTTTCCTCAGCCATAGAAAAGAGATAATCACTTTTACTTTGCAGTGTTATTGTAAATATCAAATGAGATAATGCATAGTTTGGCCATAGTTTGGAAAATATAATGTGCTTAGACAAATGTTAGATGTTTGTGTGTGCTTCCTTTGGATGACTATATACACACAACAAGAAACTATACAAAAGAAATGGAAATGAAATGAAATTTCCAATTTGCTAGGGCAGTGCATATTGCAAATTTTAATGTGCACCAAAATTAGCACTTTAGAGCTCTAATTATACAGATTAACTCTCTACATTGACAAATGAACCAAGAATTCTTTATCTTAACTCTGTTGCCAGAAAGTCATACTAAGAAGCATATAACCAACCACATCATTAAAATGAAAAGAATTCAGCASATTGCTTGGTCTCTGGAGAGACAGACATCCTCTGTTCTTCCAATTTAGCTTGATTTGATGTTTCTAAGAAAAAAATCCCAGCTAGTGCAAATCTAGAAGGCTGAGAGTGGGCTTGTAAACAAGACTGCAAGAGTCCTATCACATACTATGAAAACAATAATACAAGTTTTGTATTATAAGTTTTGTAAGTTTTATAAGTTTTGTTGTATCTTGTTACTTTCTCATTCTTTAAATTGTCTTTTTTTTTAAATCAAGCACAATATATTAAATTCAAAGTGTAACAGAAAAATCAGTTTATTTTCAAGTTTAACAAAACATTTTAGTAATAGGCAAAGTCAAATATTTAATTATAACCTAAAGAATGAGATAAAATTTCTGGTGCTTTGCTGAGAGTTTTTACAAATAATCTGTCCCACTGAGAAATATGATTAATGCTTAATAACATAAAGTGAATAGTTATTTGAAATGCTAAGGGCACAATTAGCATTTGAAACTAGATATTTGCAGACCTACCTGAGAGGTATCTGGAACCTCTGTGTCTTTTTTCCATAATGGAGGTTTTCCATATACAGCCATTTCAATCATACAGGCAAACCCAGGACTGTCACCCGGCATCGTGAAGCTAGAAGTAAAACAGAAGAGGCCATTATTGTATGCGTTATCGGCAAGAACAGAGTGACTTCACACATGGATGGTAAGTACTACTTCAATGAGAGAGGTACTTTATGGATCACAATAATCCTGAAATATGGCTTCAACCAACTGTGAACATTTTCGGATAGATAAAAGATATATTTCTTTTTCTAAMACTGCATTTCATTTTCCTTCTCTCCTCCTGACTTTCAATCAAGTCTTGAAATGCATTCAGAAAGTTAAATCCCCTACAAAACAAAAAGAGCTTTATGTGTATAAGTAGGTATTGATAAATTTTAAGTGCTAACTGTGGTTGACATATGGTCTTACTCACATAGGAGATTGTTGGACAAGTAACATCAATGTTAAATGATGCTAAACTCCCTAGGTAGAAAATTCTCCTCCTTGGCCTACAGGGGAAATAGAAATGGAATAAGAAATGAAAGGCTGCATACCCCTGAGCAGTGAGATTACACTGTGATACAGTTATCAGAACTCAGAAAGCATGCTGCTAATGTACCAGCTGGTACTGTTTCAGAGATAAAGAAAAGTGTAAGGTTAAGGGAATTTGAAGAATGAATAGCAGAAATGGTCAACACACAATTGAAAATTTATCAGGAGTTTCTAAATTGATGCAATCAGATGAATAGGCACATATAACAAAGTACTTGGCGTTCTTTAAAAACACTTCATTTAGAATTTTAAAAGACAAATCCAATGATATTACCTAGACACTTGCCGTATGTAGCAGTATTAACTGGCACTATTATAAAGTTTATTCTGTAGAGAAAATAGAAATATATTTACTGATATTATTGATAGCTATTTCTGCATACTGAGAATGTGAATGATATTAATTCTAATTTTGATATATTTGTATTTTTTAAATTTTGGACAGTGATCATAGATTAAATTTTACTTTGAATTTTGAACAGTCTTTCCAGTTTGCCTTGATCCATAGGGATTTTTTTTAGGATGATGAACTTTCAGTGCAAAAACTAGGAACATTCCTAGTAAACCCRAGTCATTGTTCATTCTACTTTTAAAATACACAAAGTCAATTTTATTAAATAATTATTGSTTAAATTATTTCATTATTATTATTTAAATAACTATAGGCTTAGATGAATGGAGAAAAACAAGCCAGAGCCCTTTCCTTCCCTATCTTCCTACCAAAATGCCTAGCTCTTGGGTGGCTCCTTCTGTCCTCTTACCTAAAAATACACATCTTATAGCGTTYCTTCAATAAATCATTCCACTACATTTTTGGCTTCCACTCAAGTTTACCAAAGTSATTTCTAATTCTGATCAGATCACTTCAGAATATTCTTAAATTCTAAGAGTTTCCAGTTTGTGTGAACTGTACTGTAGGGATCTATGAAGCCACTTGCCATCATCGTTGATTATGGTCAGGCTGACATGCATGGATGCTTCCTACTGGAGATGGAAGGAATAGATTTGGGGAATGCACATCTTTACTAACAATATGATTTCTCTTGCTTTCATTTAGAGTTTGTTGGAATCTGAACCTGAGCTGCAGTTCTGCAAAGGAAGTCACTTTATCTCCTTTCTGTTATTCCTCCCTTTCTCCCTCTGACCCTTCAACAAATAGCTGATTCTATTGTCTGCTTAGTTTGTATACTATTTTGGAAATTGCTACTTTAAATCCACAAGAGTTTTCCCCATGGGGAGATTCTTATCACATTCATTTTTATAATAGGTTGTATTTGTTTATAGACTAAATTGTGTTGTAAGAAACAAAGAAATGCTCTATAAACAAATTAGATATTTTGCCATATAAATCATTTGATGAAAAATCTAAGTGCATATCCCTTATGCCTTTCAAGTATTGCTGAGGTCTGCACAGTCTAATGATTTAAAGACTCAAGGATCATATTTTGAGATAATCCATTGACTGCCTGAGTGATCTTAGGCAAACCACTTAACCTTTCTTCCCTGAAGTGTGATTATCCACAGAAGGGAGATAATCATTCTTAGCTCATAAATGGTTAGTGAGAATCACATTATTTAATGTACATAAATCATTCAGTGCTAATATTAAAATCTGAGTTAAAGCAATTATTTGCTGACTAGACAGGGATCTCTAAAGAGATTTTTATGAAAATAAATTACACAGTCAAGTTGAAGTGTTCATCTACTTCTACTAATATTGCTTGTAATGGAGTTCAAAATCAAATACTCAATTTGAATTATTTTAAAAAGTAAAACTTGATGAATGGAACATTTTTTTCCTGGTGTTCTTAATAGTTTTGTTCTTTAGATCTATAATGATGTTAACCAATATGGCTGAAACATTTGATTTGGAAAGGACATTTTATTTGTAAACTTTTAGAAGGACCTGAACAATCTGTAAGTTCTGTGTATCGAAAACCAAGGAAAGGGTTGTAAAAATGTAAATAAATGAAAAGTGGATGTGATAGGTTTATGAGTTAAGTCAAATACTTTATATAATTTAATGTTATTCAGTTCCTATGCTAGAGTTATAGGATAATAATTTACATGGAAGGATGTATATGCGAAATAGAAAAATGAAGACAATTTGAGTCATATGACATAACTTTTATAAAAATATGCAATGAGATGATACCAGAATTGCTTTCACTAATATTTTCAATGGCTATCACTATATGCTGAGACTAAGGATGATGCTTAATCTGTGTGTTTTTTAATTTGTATTTTATGAATGTTGGACATAGAACATATATTTTCTATTTTTACCCCGTAAGATGAACATACACTTTTCCAATTGATTTTGAAGTTTATTTATTTATGGTATTTTTCATTTTTAAAATTGGTGCATTGTTATTTTATAAAATAACAGGATTCATTGTGACATCTTCATACATACTCATCCATCAATTGGCTTGATTGATTYCCCTGTGCTCCCCCTTTCCCTCCCCTTCTTCCTCTGTCTCTCTTCTATTTTCATGGAAATTGATTTTTTAAAGGTCTAACGATTTTGGCAACRTTTTTCTGTTGTTTCTTGGGTTCTATGCCTTTCCTCCAGGTTCACCTCTCTACCTACCTTCTCCTTAAGTACCTTTAATACCTCTTGTATCTGTGGATAGTAAACCCATCGTCATATCACACTTCATTTCACCCCTGAATAATGGCTTAACTGCTGAGAATTTTAAATTGATTTTTCTTTTAGAACTTTAAATATAGTATCTGATTATATTCTGCTTTCAATTGCTGATGTGAAGCCATTCTCAGTTCAATGTAAAAGCTCTTCTTTTGTTACTTTAACTTTTCTTCTCTGGCAGCTTTAAGATCCTGTATGTACTTGGGATAATGAGTGTGGGTGTGGGTTAATCATTGTAAATTCTTCTCTATACTCACATGCACTTTTGATCTTAGAAATTATATATTCTTTCCATTTGTAAAAATTCTTAACTGAACTTCACATATTGCTTTTTGATATTCCCTGACTTTTCCATTTCATTTTTTTGAAGCCATATATGTATCTTCTAAATTTCTTAATCTTGTTTTTGTTCTTTAAAATAAATCACKATTTCTCTGTCCAGTATTATTCTCGGGTATCATTTGTTTCTTTGTCTCCTGACTATAGAGTTTGTTCTATTGACTGAGTTTTAAATTTTTCTGATTATTTTTTATTTTCAAGATTTTGAATCTTTTCCATAATTTTTGTATTTACTCTCTGCCTATTTGATTTTATAATTTCTTTTTTTAGCTGAAAGTTATTTCTTCATTTGTGCATTCTGGTATCCTACAAATATTTATTTTAYAGTTTTTAGTAGACTCATAAGAATTATTTAGAGTGATTCATATTGCATGAGTTTTTTGCTTTGTTCCATTCTCTATATCATATGTTCTGATACTGAGATGCGCAGGCTCATTTTGAATGGGAATGTTTTTGTTTTTTTTCTCTTTTCCTTATTTCCACTCTTGTTCTCTTGTGCTCTTCTTCTATGCCCAACCCTGCCTGCATCATGAGAGTCCTGTCAGATCCTCTCACATCTAGACCAGAATCTTGGATAATGGATACTGGTAATTCTGTCCTATAATGATATTGAAGGTGTCTACAGGTCCATGCACACAGCTGACAGAGGATTCTTGGTGAAGTTCAGGACCTACTACTTGTCTGCAGTCTGTGGTTTTTCTGGGCTGGAAGCTAAGTCAGAAACTCAGATTGCAGTCTTTCTCTGTGTGTTTATCCTCCTGCTTGCCCTTCCTTCCTTCCTTCCTTCCTTCCTTCCTTCCTTCCTTCCTTCCTTCCTTCCTTCCTTCCTTCCTTCTTCCTTTTCTACCTATCATCTCTGTATCTATATAAAATATTTCACAATCATTCTTGAGCAAGTAGTTTATTTTCCCCGATGCACACTGAGCTTCCCTTTCTAGGATTATATCTTGGCGAGCCAGCAGTTTTAGCTCATTTACTACTTTTCATTTTCCTCTTTTTCTTGTCTAGGGGAGATGTTTATCCTGTTTTGAACTTGGCTTTATGTTTTTAGTTGTCTTATTTTTAGAAATTTTCTCTATCACAGCTATGTGTTAGACATTGAGGAGGAGTGTCAAAGTGTGAAGTTACGAAGTCATCTTGACTAGACATCCCACTCATTTTGATATTAAGAAAAAAACTTGTACACCTATATTGAATTGCTGTGATATACCCCATAAAGATATACAAATGATATAAATGAATAAAGATTTTTAATCTGGTAGAAAATGTGTTTTGTGAAAAATCTGAATGCCATGCTTGAATATTGTGTTGTTTTAAATATTATGCTATTATAAAATTTAATATCATTACATTTTTTAAATCTGAAAAAGACATCAGAATTTTGTACCATAATATTGTTCAATAAAGGGAACAATTTTTTGATTATTAAAAAAAAACCCTAAGCTCTTGCCTTTGAAGGGCCATGTAAACAGAAAGTTATCTTTGATCTGTGAGGAGAATGATGAAAAATTAAACAAGCCATTTGGAAGTACCTTTCTGATTTTATA